GGAAAACGAAGGTGGAATAAACAAGCCAGGTAGGAATAAATCGAAAGAACAGTAAGGTTAACAAGCTGATGTAATTACTCCAGCAGAGTTCGGAACAGAGACAAGTGCGCGTTGATCGTAAATTGGGGACGAGCACAATATAAGGTATCCTGATATCTGGCTCGTTACACGGTCACGACGGTATTAACTTGCCGAAGGGTAATCAAGTAATGAATACATCGCTGGCGAAGACCGTACGTATATAAATCATGGCGGAGAGGATGCCAGGGGCTACAGGGTGAGCCCTTATCTCCAATCAGTACATTGATTGCACGCAGCCAGGTCAAATACCAGGCTTCGCTCGACGGCTCGGCTCAGACACGATAGCTTATTCAATTTCCGAAGCGGCATTCACCATTCAATTCGGCAGTTATCAGCCTCCACCTATATCCCCCTATCTAGATTTTGCGTGGCTTTCTAGGAATCGTGCCCGCTTCCCGTAAGAGAAAAAGAATTGGCTTATTTCGCGGCTAAGGGGGTGAGCAACGAAGGGTTCACCGGGAAAGGATATAAATATAACTAATTTAATTGCTCGCCTCGAGGGTTCTGCCTCGAAATACGGCAGAACAGTCGTTTCGATCCTATTTGCCCTGGAAACTCCTACTTGTAATTAATTGGTCGGTTTAAATTGATTTTAGAATTAAATGTATTGCCGAGTCGAAGACGAGCCTGCTTTGAACAGCGATATCATTTAACCCTTTAATAGCGAAACCTAAGTCAATCGTGACCCAAATTTACAAAACATATAGAAAAATATTAACTTAAAATTAAGTATATAATTTTGAAACGAAGAAGTTTTATATATTGTAAGAATAATTTTTAAAGGGAACAGTGTAAAATTGAGAAAATTAGAATAATGTGAAGTGCAAAATTTTTAGCAAAATTAGAGTAATGGAAATATTGATTTGTGTCAAATATATATTGGTTTTCTAATATAAAGGTTTTCAATTCCGAAGTTATTCCATCAGGATATAATATTTGACCTAGGGATTCTGGACATCGGTGACTCAGAACTATTTGTCAGAAACAATGTGTCACTACTTGGCTAACATCTATCTATATAATAACGTTTCAGAATTTAACCTTAACACTGGAATCCTTGACATTCGATATTGATCGTAAATGACTAGAGTTTCTACGAATGCATATCATACGTTGACCATCATAGCGAAAATAGACATATCCATATAATCAGACACTTAGAGCCTTAATTATCGAGAATAGAAATACTTACGATCCCAGAAAGATTAATTCAATATTTTATCCTTTCCTTCGTTCTTTGAGTTATTAATTATTTCTTCTGGCTAAATTATTTTCTTAATTGAAATTTAAATAGACACGGTTATTCGATGATATTTCCTAGAGAATATGGTTATTACTCAGCATCTAACCGGCGAAAGGAAGACGCGCTTCCCCGTAGTGTACATAGATAATCGAGCTTAATTAATTGCTCGTGATGCGTGCTATGGGCCGAACAAACACATTTACTTATTACCATCCATCTTGAGTGGTGTCTCTCAAGGGAATCGATTTTCTAAGTGCACACGGCTGATGGTGACACGAATCGTCCAAGGGACAGCCACGTGAACGCAACAAAATCGTTAAATAAAGGCGCGGTCTGTGTAAACTTCCTTCCTTGCGACATACTGTTCTCAAACTACCAACGTATTAATTTATGGCGAATCATTTACGAAGTTATGTGTTTGAAAGGCAGTGTTATGTCAAACTAGTTGTACAGTTTGTTACAATGACTATTTGTTCACTTGGTTAGTCATGGCCTTTGAAATATTTTCAGTTGTATGTAAAATTATTGAAGATGATCTTTAATTTTGAAAAATAAAATTCTTCTTCTAAATAAGATCCTGAAGATCTCCAAATAAAGTCGAAACGTTGAAAAATTAAAAGCAAGGATAATTTTGTAATTATTGGCAATTAATTAATACATTGTCAAAATTAATGTGGTTGCTAGTGTTCTCGTACAAAAGTCAGTGAAATCATTAGGCGACGACTGGTTCGTTACACTAATCAACTATAAGTGGAACTATTTAAACGCACCGGAGGCAGCGTTAACGATCGGTAGTTAATACTTGTCTGCGTTAATCGCCACGTCCATGGCCGACGGTACGGGTCCGCGGAAGTCTCGCCTAGTGATCGTTATTGACTGGTACAGATCCCTCGGGTCGTAAGTGACATTTACACGATGCATTCAGCGTTAAACTTCCCCGGAGAGCAAGGGGCAGAGGGGTAACGTCGTATCTCAGTTCCAGTATCTATACGAACACCCGGGGTTCCCCTGACAACGAGACAACAACAAACGCCTAATGGCTAGTGCCTGTGCTCAGAGTTTAATTTCCTGACCAGAGGACAGTGCTTAAAGTGACCTTCCCTTTTGCTCCTTGTCTCCTTGCTCATCGTTCACCCCTTGCGCTAGCCGAAACCGCGTATCTTCCTGTTTCTGCATTTTCACCCCTTCCTTATTTCCTTATTCGCCTCCGGACTCTTCTTCGCTTTAATTCTATCCCATGTATACTTAAATGAATAAAAAGAAATTAATTTTTTACGTTTAGTAAAGTTGTGTACCCTCTTCAATTTTAAGGCCCTTCATTGGTACTTTATCTTTCGAGATATACATTATTAACAAAGTTAGGAACAGAAGAGCTACCATGCGATATTAAACTATAAACAATGATGACTACCTTCTCTCGAGACATTTCTCACGGTAACTACATTACAACTTAATCGATCCCCTGACAACGGCACAGAGTTATGAGCCCCAGCGATGGGGGTAATTTGTCTGTCATTAGTGAAAATCAGGTTATCAAATGTGAATTATGGATCGTTTATTCTTTAATTAAGCATGATTAAGTTGGATACTAATGATAGGCGAAATTATACTTCTTGTGTTCCTTTTTTCTCATTATTTAATTATATCGAATTTAGTGTTGGTCATTAGTGATCTCCATAGTAATCAACGTATTTAATAATTAACTGTATATGTTTGTTTGAATTTGCTAATTTTCAAAGATATTTTATACCTGGCGTCGAAATAAAATTAAATTTCAATTAGGTAAATTTTATTATTTTGCTTGATACAAGGAAAGCATATTTCGCCGTGCTTTGAAGCTAGAAATCTTTACTGTACTTGACGGATATAGTTTCTGCGCGAGATCCACGTGGTCGTGGCACTGACCCCTGCAACGTAACCCCTCTTGGTATCTGACGTGCATGCACGAGGAAAAAGTTTCGGGCTTGCCACGTATGTTTCTACCCCAGCGGGTTCTCTCCCTATAATTCTTAAGGGAGGTAGTGCATAATGGAAAAAAAACAGCGAGTCAGAAGACAGATGGTCACGATGCTCGGCCGTATTATACCCATGTTAAGAAACAGATTCTCAGGCTTCCGATAAAATTTATGGTCGAAAGTTGCGCACCGTGTTGTTGCTCCTGGTCTACGCTCGAAAAAATGTGTTCACCCTTTGGTAGCAAGAAACCGATGCTCTCGAACAAACTTGCAAACACGCTCGAACAATCGTTTGATTATTTTACGATCTTGTTTTCCAATTGTAAGCAATATTAGCAGAGGGGTGGAATTTAAATTAAATAACAAAACGATTATATTCTGAATAAATTTTATTTGTACGAATATTTACAAGTGTTTGCATACTAAAATTAGAAAATCAGAAATCAATTATAAATTACAAAAATTCAAGCATATTGCAAAGTATAGTAAATAGAAAATAGTGTTGCCGAAAGGGGTGGGCGAAAATTTCTAAGTCTTGCAAGTGAAAAAAAGAAAAATTCTCTGAGTAAAACTAACTGAAAATAGAAGACAGAGCACGAAGAAGAAAGTGATGGCATGAGAGAGAAAGAGAAACAGAGTACAGTCCTGTGTCCTTTGCGTCCTGAATCATGCATTCTCATCCCTTGGAAACGAACTGAAACGCTCTGCGGTCCCGCGACCCGTCCAGCGAATAAACAATGTTATTTGTTCTCCAGGATCTCGGTCCAAAAGAGCTCGCGAGGATGGTACGGTAGGACGAGTGTCGGAGTTGCGCGTTTTCCCAAAACAAAACGTTGAGAGAAAGGACGTTAATCCGTAGCCGAGCACCCGAGGCTGACGTTTCTGTGCATCCTTGACTATTCAAGCATACGTGACACCACTTATCATCAACTAGCGTTGCTTCATTGTCTCCGAAGCTTAGTTTACATTTGTAGAATAAACGGCAGAGTGAAGCTAGTAGGAAATATTTCATTTACTCTACTCGCGTAAACAATTAAACAATTCGTTAATAGTTCTCTTCCTCGATCTGTTATTTCTTTGTCTCATCACGGCCCGGTTCCTCTCTCGTTTTCACCCTAGTTCTCCCTCCTTACCGTTTACCATTCGCTACCTTTGTTTTCGGACAATCGGACCTGTCAGCGACAGAACAAACTGTTGCAAGGAACAAGATGCTGTTTGAACAAGACCCGAAGTGGCGAGAGCTGGACAGATGCTCGCTGGACTGTATATCTTTGCGCAAATAACAATACCTTTCATTTACTTGATTTCGTAAGGACTTTAGGTTCCTTGTTACAACAAATATAGAAGTCTTCAAAATTCTATTTAAATAATGTATTTGTGGTAAATGGGTTTTTTTTCTGTGGAAGGTTCTTTATAAAAATACTTCTAAAGCTAATAATACATTCAGTGAAAAGGGGTTTAATGAAAGGTATCTAATGTCAATGTCAGCTGATGTTCTACAAATATGTTCATTGTTGGGTTAAGATACAATTCCTTGACTATTGTCCGACAGACTAAATTCGTCTTTCAATTGAATTATATAAAACGGAGAAATTCATTACTTGAAATGATCTGTACTCTTTTGAAGTAGAATCGTAAATAATTTCATTTTCTCTCTAGTGTACATGCTTGGAATTTTCTAAAATTTTATTCTAATTCAGTGTCTTTTTCTTTTGTTACAGATGAACCGTCCTATTCAAGTGAAGCCGGCGGACAGTGAAAACCGCGGAGGTAAGAAAACGCACTCGAATTCCAAACTCGAATTTAGAAATAAGTAGATCAACTTTAGATTTACTTGAAATATTGATCTAATCGAATCACTAATTCAAATTTTTTCTAGCATACATTTTCATAGTACAGCTATTTTATCGTTAGAATTTTTGATTAGACTCGATTACTGATAAAAGAAAATTTTTTGAAAAACAATTAATCAAGACTTTTCATTAAATATTAGTGAAAATATTTTTCTTTATCAAGAGATAATTATTATTCATGCGTTCGCTTGTACAATAATTCATAACAAAGGATCACGTTATCGATTAAAGGGCTCGATAAAAAATAACTGACTTAATGGGTAGCAATGAAATATTTTTATGGAATTGAAAAGCATTCGCTGTAACGTACAGTAATACTCGTTGACAACCCATACGTAACATTCAATCGAGCAAACACATAAAAGCACCGCCTGATAAAAATTCGACCCTGTACAATGCCCGCATTGTTTTAGCGTTATGTACTATTCATTAATTTCGTGTCATTGGAAATATCACTGATATTTGTGCCATTCGTTCGCCAATTTTTTACGCTTCCTGAATTTCATAGAATATACCCACCAATCATCGAGACTGAAGCGTTAACGAAATAAGATAACAATTGTTAGCTTGTCAGCTTTTCCTCTATTCAACGTGAAAATGAGCGTATAAATAAATTAGAAAAATGTCGGAATAGATCATCTTACTATCTTTCGCTTCGTCTTTCTTCATAAATGTCAAGATATTTTACCCTTATTGTTCGCGGTCAGTTGAATACTTCCATCAGCTCGACTAATTAAAAGTAATAAGTTTCTGAATAAATAACTAGCATAATTGGAGTGCCATCTTGATTTTCATAGTTAGAAGTACTTTAGAAGTATTTTGATTAATGAATTGAAGTAGATCGTTTATCTTTGTTATTAATGCCGTATGATGAATGGGTTCGTAGAAAATGTTAAGCATCGAAGAAGAATGCATATTAAAAATTATTTCTGTTCGTAGAACCTTTTCAATTTTAACAATTTGATTCCAAATTTAAGACAAATATGAAAATAGTATTCCGAGATCAAAAATAAAATAGCGATACCATTTGCCTGGAGAACTCGAAGAGTTTCCTTCAAATTTACATTCATCCTACTTTCGTCATTTAAACGTTCGAATCTGCGGCCAAGTTTTTCATCTTACATTTACTCGCACAACGAGAAACTCCGTCCAAATATCGGTTCCGAAAATTCACGGAAACATGAACCCAAAGAACGTAGCACAGAGGAAACTCGGTGAAGTTCGACGCTGGCCCTCCAAGTCGTTCACTCAAACAAGTCCGAATATAAACGTCCACGAGGTAAATTGTGCAAAGCGTGGCATGAGAATGGGCACGAGGGAGAGCGGAAGAAGGGAAATATAGAGGGTGTTCCAAGATTGACTCCTCTTGAGAAAATACATGAAAATATTTCACACGAGACATTCCTTTAGTTCCACAAATAAAAAAAAATACAGTGATGCATAAAAGAAATTTAATTCTGCAATTATTATTTATTTTCTCAAGAATTATCAACCCTTTCATGGTTGTACCATAACTTGGCAATTCACCAGAAATCGAATATCACAATATTAAGAAACAAAGAATCAGTTATTGTTCAAAATATGAAAGAATATATCATGTATAATATCAGCGCTTCTTTGCCAAAACATAGCCACCACCGTAACTTAGTATTCAGGAAGATATTTACGTATTCGATTTCTAGCGGACCACGCTGTATACATACAGAAAAGCGAAGAAAGTGCAGGACGAAAGGGTTATAGTATGCAAGGAGAGGCAGCGAAGAAAGTGGAAAGCGGGTTAGAGAGTGGTAGGAGGGAAGTAGATGAGGGGGGGGTGGGAGGGTGCCGTAATTCATATGCTAATCTGGCGTAGATGCCATTGTAATCTCCGGTCGCCTGGCTTGGTGTGGCCCCACAAAGCCTCAGCTTGACGCGGATGCTGGAGAAGTGATCCAAAGCTCAACGCTGTCACTGCTTCTGCTTCTGCTTCTGCTTCTGCTGCCATCGACCTTACACGGTATACCTATGTAGATGACGTATCCACGTAGTTGCAGACTTCAATCGCGGTGTTACTGAACTTCGTCGTCTACGACGATCCGTCTTTGCCTCGTCGCGACATCGTCTATTGCCAGCAGACTCCTTTTATTACCGATTCGTGTTCTACTTCTTTCGTATACCCAATGGATGACCTTGGTATTTTTATGACAGTAGTTACTGAGCTATCTTTTTCTAAATTCTTTTCAAGGTAAATTTGGAATTGTGGAAAAAATTTAGAAGTTGGTATGTCGATTGGAAAAAGGGGGCTGCTGGATAAAGAGCAAAAAATGTCCTTTTATTGAGATTGGTGTTAGGTTAATAGATTGTATAAAAAGGTATTATTTATAAGAGTTTAAACCTTCAACGACCGAGCCTGGGTCAATCGTGACCCAAACTTAGAACACGTATGCAAGGATATTAACTTAAAATTAAATGCATAATTTTTAAACGAAAGAAATTTTATGTAGTGCAAAAATAATTTTTAAAGAATTAGGGTAAAATGTAGAAAATTGAAGAATATAATATGAAATAAAAGATTAAATAAAAATTGAGGCCGTTTGCAGTAGTATAAACAGGCAAATACATTTTAAGTAGTGGTGGGTATAATAAGTCAGACATTTGAAAATTCAAAGTTCTATCAGTTATCTGAAATGCTGACGCAAAATTTTGAATATATTTTATTAATATAAAGGTAGTGAGAATCTCAGCGTAAAATAAATTTCATAAATAAAAGGTAGTTGTAAACGATGTCACGTAAAATAGAAGTATCGTTTATCGTTAACGGGAGTCGCTGGTGGTCGATAAAGTATCCTCTTCCCGGAGCACCGTTGTCATTTTCCATTAAATTTATCACCATTTCTTCTCTGCAGAAAGGCATCCCACGGTGTTATCACTTAAGTTCGTAAAATGACGATTCAAGATTGCGTACACCGTACAGTTGGTTTTTTCCCCCGCTTGCCATCAAGTATGGTCTTATTGTTTCATGTGATTCTCGTTCGCTTTTTCTACTTTTAATGACTGCCCTTTTACGCAAGCTATTCCGCGAGCGTCGTCGTCACACGGCTTAATTACACCATTTTATAGATTCCTTTGTGCTTTACTCGCCGAGTAATATCCTGGCAACGGTACAAAAGATAAATCAGGTTTTAATTGCAAGACGTCGTTGAATTAAAGCGTTAAACCGGCAAACGGTACGGACAGCTTGAACTTATCTCGCAGTTGTTCTTCCAATTATTTTGTATGCAATTTATTCAAGGAGCAGTCCACAAATTGCTACGAGATTCTTTGCACGCTTAACGATCGCGGCATTAATTGAGCGACGCTTCGTAAGTGTGTTTGCTTTGCTTTTATTATATACTTGAATTGAATTTTTTCCCCCCTTTTTTTATATATTTAAATTCATGGAATACATTTTTCATTCTTTTTTAATCGATCGGAATGTAATAAATAATTCACCGGTGAAATAAATACTGAATTTTTTTAATTTGATACACTAATTTCATCGCTTTGATAAAATATAGATATTTTGTATTAAATTTTGTATTAAATGGCAAATTTTTATTCATAACTGTTGTGGAAAATGTAAAATTCTTTCCAGAGTTATTCGGATGAAATCAAATTAACTATATAATTCTGTAGTACTGTTTCATAATCACATTCGACGTACCTGCTGTTCCCTCCATTTATATAATATGATAATATCTAATTGTAGGTGACATTTACGATAAGACTACTAGAGAAAATAGAATCAAATGAGCAAGCCACACGTAACATTGCAAATTGCTTATATCATATCATTCCATAAGTAAGGTCGTTTTCACATAACAAAAATATTCCTAATCTGCGTAATATTATATTAAAATTTCTAATGATCATGGAGATAATCATCAGCCGTTTAATTCACAAAATTCTGCCCTTTCGTTCGATATGTATGTCTTGTTATCTGAAGGCTCGCAACAGTTGAAGCTTTTCACTGAATTTCTCACGTGCTTGCAAGCTAAGTACGGTTGATCGTGTTGCAAAAGCGGCTGGAATTAAGTGTACAACGACGGAAACAGATTTGAGAAATGCGTATCTCGCGTGGAAGTTGCTCGAACTTGAGACGAGTGAGTGAGAGAGGGGGGGTGGTTCGGTCGAAGTTCCTGCGAGTGGATAAGGGTGGCTGCTGTACTAGAGCTAGTTGAGCAAGTAGATAAGTTTCGATCCCTCGGCGAGCCACCTTGCTTCCACCGCCATCACTCGCCCTACTATGTTCCTGCAGATAAACGTATCCTGGGATATCGAGGCTCTCGAAGGCTGCCTTCATTGCTGGCAACTTCGAGTTGGCCGACGTGACGCAAGCCCTCTTCTTCGGGTCCGAAGCCGTTGCGAGAAATCCTTCTGGATTATGAGAGGGCGACGTGCTTCTTCGCGGGGCCGGCAAACGATGTCGTAAATAGAACGGCCGTGGGATAAAGTAACGCACGGTTCGGTAATCATCGCGCAGTTAATGACCGAATGCTCGTTAAGCACGCACGAATTTACGTGGGATCGACTGATTAACTCGATTGGAAAATATAAACGAGACTGGTTGAAAATATCTTTAGCAGATCGATACGTTTGCAAAACTAACGCGGAGTTATTTTCTATCCACTGTCTGAATTTTGTAGAAAGATGGACCAGCGGAAAGCTTTTGATTCATTTTTAACGCTTCAGTGATTGGAAGTTTTTAATGTTCTATTTTGTTACTGTACAATTTTACATTTCAATGGTTCGTGATGTTCTTTACGCGACTTCGCGTGTACATTAGAACGATATTAATTATGCAATTAGAGGCGTTCAGGGAACGGAGGTTAAAAATAGGCGTATCGATGCGGGCATTAGAAACGCTTCAGTAACAATTACTCAACTCCTGCTTGAAAGTTTTCGTATCGGCTCGGATCGATTCATGCATAATTTTCGAGGCCCTTTGGAGAAACAAAAGTTTCAAAATATCGGAAAACTGATCTATTAGAGGTAGGAACTGTAGTTCAAGCCTCGTTAACGATTACCTACCATGAAAACACAGTGTCATCGAGCGTTCATTCTATTGTTGGATAACGATAGCGATACAAGAAATGAAAACATACTAAATTCATTGAAAGCTTATATTTTCTTCTTAAATTTATTTCAATTTTATTTTCCAAAGTATTACACTACATATGTCGTCATTGACAAGGATCAAAAGTGACCCAATTCGTCTTTAATTTTTCCTGAAGTACAAATACCGTTTTAATCGAATCAACGCGATAATCTCACCCCAAGAAGAAGAAGAATAAAAAGACCAATCTAAAAATAGGATCAAGAGAAAGATCACGATTTTAGCGATCCGGCAGAGGAAGAAAGGAAGCACGGTGTCAAACAGTATGTTCGCTTTGTCTTCACGTAGTCCGGTTGAAAGATAATTTCCCGAGGGTTAATTCCTTCCTCGATTTCTTGAAGGTCTTATCCAGGATAGGGAACGCGAAGGGCGCGTTAATACTTAGCTCGAGCGACAAAGGTGCAATTCTCGGTCCCCACAGTGTCCCGGCACGACAATGGGAACGAACGCTCGATGAAAAGTACTCGGAGCTAAAGGAAGGAGAATTCTCTGTCAAGGAATGGCGGGAGTAAGTGTGAGGAAGTGATGGAGGGTGGGTGGAGAAAAGGGCAGGGTGTACGAAGGGGTAAGAATCCGTAGTGAACGGGGGGGGGGGGGGGGAGGGGGATGCAACGAGGCTGCAAGTCAGGCGAGAATCTAATTTCCCGAGACAAATCCTTAAATGTGCCCCGGAGCCTTCCTGCTAGGCGCGAGTCAGACCAGCAGCTTGGAATGAGCTCGCGTCTAGCAGCCGCGACGACGACCTTTAACTCGGTTCGCCAATTTTGCATCTCCATAACCTGGCGAGAACGCGTCATTAAGTTCATTCACGCGGGGAACGCGGTGAATCGAATGCGGGATCCGACGACCCGTTATCCGCGGAATGTAAAATTTTGCGATAAAACCGTTACGCCCGATTGAAATTCCCTGCTACCGACTACCCTGCCCTGGCGAACTTCGAAACTTCCGGTTCACGCGAACATTGTCGCGTGCTACGGAACACGGTTGTCATCTGTACGAGTGGACGGGGCTTTATTTCTTTTTCAAACTTTCGAATCATTAACGCGTTGAATGCCCGGGGGTTAATTTTATGCAATTGGTGCATGGTATCGAAATGAAATTTTTATTACATAAAGGTAATATACAGGGTGTCAGAATTGGTTAGAGATGAAAAAAGAAATGACGTGGACTGATGTATATCCTGAAATTAGATTTATGCACTTTTTGTGCATCGGTGCACCAGCGGTGCACTGGTGCATTGATTACTGCATCTGAAATGATACATAAGTTGATTCCATATTATAATTTGTGATTTTTTTATTTCAGTGAAATTGATTAATCTGTTATGTATAAATTCTAACGTTTTCATGTACGCATACTTGAAGGATTAATTGTCTCTGTATCGTTAGGTCATGTTAACAAGAATATTCATCCAATCGATCGGGGGAGACAAAAGAAATATGCTGCACTGTACAATGTCACGCTAGGGTGAACACATTTGATCGAAGTTCTGCAGGGAGGGTGATATATTCGATTTAGCGTGTTCTCATGGATACATATAGGCAACGACGACAACGAATGGTGTACATTTTGGGCCCAATGGCATTTCTTTGTTTCTGTTCTGTATTCCAGAGTGCATGATGGACGACGGGAGCACCAGTGCCATCTTCTGGAAGTAGGAGGCACCGGTGGCGGCTGCTGAAGGTAACTTCGACTTCCAGGAGATAGCTAGCTTCCTTCCAGTACCTCTATTCTTCTTCTTCTCCGCGAATCGGCAGAAGGAGATACCTCTCTATGAGAAAAACGAAAGAAAAGAAACGAATTTTCCTCCCTCTCATCACGCCATCACCGCTGATTCAGCCAGCACAGCTCGCCGCAAAGTTCATTTTGCTGCTCGCTAGTGTTTGACCCACGAATCCTGGCATTCCTTCACGAATTTTTTCCCACCCCCCTTTAACCCTTTTAGCCACCCGGTCCAATTTCTTCGCTCGACGCGCGGTCGACATACGTTCATCTTCGAACGAAAACAGAATCCAAATTCCGTGAAAAAAAAAGAAAAATTAAGAAAAATCATTTCGATGCTTATCAAATTTTTTTTCGCAGCTCGACTCTTCTTCTTTTCGGTGAAATTCGATCGAACGAATTTATTTTTTATATGTTTCAATTCCAAAATCAATTATCCCAACAATGAAATATATTCTGAACGAATTATTCGTTAGCCTTTGATGCAATTCGATTCGTTTAATTATAACGCGTGTATTCATCGAACACCTCTCGTTCCGTCGTTCCCATTCCATTTCCAAAAAAAAAAGAGAAAAGATAAAAAAGAACGGGCACACGATGCGATACATTGTAAGGTATTATAAATAATGTTGTGCGTGTCCACATGCGTAAACTTTTATTTAGTAGCCGTAAACTTGTCGTTCGTGTTTTTTGCTCTAGTTATTACACACCGGCGTCATCACACTGTTGGAACCTCGTCATTACGGTAGCTGGATGGACGCTCTTAGAACTCCATCAATTTTTCCCCTGATTATTAATTTAACTGTTCGAAAAGGAATACGTAAAAATATAAATAGAAGAATCATCTCAGAGCGTCTGCCATACCGTATATTACAAATAACCTCCTGTTATTTTTTTGTTTTTGTTTTTTGAAGGCCGAATTTAATATCGTGCACCTCGTTACGTCCAAGTCCCATAATTAATTCAAGTCCCAGTCTTTTACCTTTACCTGTTCGTATGGGCAACCACCTTAAGCGTATATATTATACATTTATATATATCTATATATATATATACTGCTCTTTACAGCTATGACCATAAAATAGTGGCTCGCTCGTTGGATGTGTTGTCTCGTTCGTTGTCGATGTGTTTTTTATCACCTTTGTAAATATTTTCTGATTATGATGTCAGCTACGTTTATCTTATTGTATTACTTAGATATTGATTCTATATGAAAGTTTTTCATCCACCCTGTCCTCGTTCCCATCCTTAATTACCATCTCCAAACGATCTTATCATAATTTCCTATCTGTCACCTATTTTCTCACGTAGTCCCAGTCAATCTTGCACACTCACGATTGATTTATTATGATTATTATTATACAGGGATACACGTACACACAGGATATACACATTCAGTGCAGATATTTCTAAAAAGGCATTCACGTTGTCTAATCATTGGCACGATGTAAGAAGAAGAATTTCAATGGTTACAAATCAAACAGATCGCTAAACTTTGAAAAAGTATTGTATTTATCTTGAAGGTAAAATAAATTGTAGTCACAGGTAAGAAAATTCTTTTCGCGTTATAATCACTTTTCTTGGGAAGAAAAATTTTTAAAATAATATTTTCATATTTTTTTGAGCTGAATTAACGTAGCATTAGAATTATTCAATAGTCATAGTAGTAATTTACGTAGTATATTTACGATAAATCTAAGGTCGTCCACAATCAAATTTATTGCAAAATTAATCGAAAGGCAATTAAATTTTCCTTTTCATCTTCAACGTGAGTAGATTACGCCTTCAAAGTTTAGCGATGTTGCACCACGATTAGTTGGTACATTTATTCCCATGCATTCGTGCGATAAAAAAAAACCGGCAAGGAAACCTAATCAGGCCCAAATATGCTCGACGAAATGATAAATGACATCGCAATTTTAGGTCGATACCATTCATTTGTCATTCTTGTGCACAAGTTAGAAATAGCTGCAGATTGTTGAAAGAAGAATTGTTGAGTGGCGTGTGACCCTTTATAAGCGATATGTTGACCTCAGCACCACGCGGAACCCTCCTTGATGATCTTTAGAAATTAATTACGTATACACAATTTTGCTTTAAGAAAATATTTCATATTAAAAAAAAAATTTATTGTAAGTATGCAAAACGGTATCATGGAGAGTTCCGCCCGTAGTTGAGTCGCTTGTACGCCCCATATCCGGTTTTAACGCGATTCCCGTTTTCTCTCCATCTGTTTCTTCGGCTTGTGGCGTAGGATGTAGGATTGAAATTGATTGGATTACTTTTCATTTCCTTTGTTGTCGTTACTTTTTCTTACCTTTACAATTCCCGTTGATAATTGATCGTAACTGTCACACGTGTATGTACGTCGTGTTACATACTCTGTTTTTACCGATATGTCAGTATTACGAATGATATTCTCGTATATTTGTCATTTTTTTATATCCGTCACATTTCTATCTGTAACCGTGGAACGCATATGTGTATACATAAATTAGTGACCGCAATTGTTAACATAAATGTATTGTGAACGAAAAGTCACAGCCCAACTTACGGCTGACCGGTTCCGTGTCAATTATTTTTTGCATTTTAACACGAATTCATATATGTATATATCTATATGCGTACAGGTGTATGATATAGATATACATATATATGTGTATTTATAACCCTTACCCCGAAACCCCGTTCCCCTTAGGATGGTGGATGCTGGTGTAACCGTGTAACTTTGTCGTTTTCGGTGTTAGCCGCAAAATCTCTTTTTAATGCCTAAATACCGCTATTAAGCGAACCTGGCTATATTCGCAAACCACCGACTAACTTTGTATCTTTGTTTTTTTTTTTCTCTGTCCTCCCCGTTTCGACACGCGGCCGACCCGCAGACAGAAAGCTGTTCGTGGGAATGCTCAGCAAACAACAAACCGAAGACGATGTCCGACAGTTGTTCACTGCCTTTGGCACAATAGAGGAGTGTACCATCCTCCGTGGACCCGACGGCAGTAGCAGAGGTGAGTGAATAGTTGTCTTTACATTTTAATCAAAATTTCATAATTTATTCATGACGATTTTATTAATAATGAGGAGAGTGGATAATTTCGCACTATTCTAAGGGATCTGGAAAGAAATAACTTTGAGCAATTAAAATTAAAATTAGAACCCCATATCACTTCTTCAGTGTCTACTGATCTTGAAGAAATATGTGGAAATAGATCATTTTTTTAGGAATTTTCTAATTAGTAAGTTCCATCAGCTCCCCCTTAGTATTTCTATGGTTCCTTCGTTATTCAATCTTGCAGATAAGTATACCCCTTAGAAATTCATAGTATTCACGAAGCCATGCATCTTCGAACCGCCAAGTGTTGAATACTCAGAACTGGTTGCACATCCGGGTATCCCATTCTAAAGAGAATCAACTGCTCTTGAGGGCATATAAGCGTTGAAAGAGCGAGGTCGAAGGTAAGGGTAAATCGTGTCCGTAAAATTAATCATGGAGCGTTTGAAGAAGGGGGGTTTGTGTCAAAGGAAGCAATTGCCTCGAAGAGGTTTCTCGCAGCAGAGCAACTAATAATAACGAGTAAAAGTGAAAAAAAGAAAACGAAAGAGCAAGTACGAGCAGAATGGTTTCGTTCGAAAATTTCCCGTTGCCCATTGCTATGTTTTCCAGCTGACCTAGCTAACGTAAGAGGAAAGGGGGAACTTGAATAACGCGGATCGGTAAAGGTTGCTTCTCGAGCGATGAAGAACTCCGATGAGAGGCGGGCAACTGGAGAAAGTTCAGACGGGCCAGGAAAGGCAATAATTTCCGCTGGACGAGCCGGTGAAATTTAAATATTTTCGTATAAAAATGAAGACCGTGAGTAATAGGATGCCGCTCGAGTTTCAGAGAGATTTAAGAGCGAGAGAGGAGGGAGTAAATCGAGCAAAACGAAAGAGGCCGAGACATAAATAGGGGAAATAAGGTGCGGAGAGGAAACAGAGGAGGGCCAGGGGGGGGGATAGAAAGAAAGAGAGACGAATGAAGTTATCAGGAAGACGTAAAGAAAGGGGAGAAGCGTAAGCAGCCGAGCTGGCGCGAATGTAATTAAATTCCGGCTCCAAGTAAAACTCACTTTCAACAGTTAATAAGATTTTGATTCGTAGTCGGTTACGTAATATGGCACCCATCGTCTTTGGCGAGCGGCGAAGATTTGCGACGCGAAGTGAACCCGATAGAAGGCACGATCGTAGAAGGAGGTGAAAACAGTGTACTCGTCGAAAGATCCTTGCGATCTTCCGAGCCTCGTTCCTTTGCTTTACCAAGATCGAATTTCATCCCCTTTCGAGCTCCCTCTGTTTCTCGTTGAACCATGGCCCCTGTCGTTGCCTACCTCCGGGTCTTTGTCGAAAAACGGTACGATGTTGCGCTCGCTTTTCAAGCTCTTTAATTAAAATCACACGAACGCGAAACGTCATTGCCTCGGATCGACCAGTAGCTAGGGACATTTCGTTGCTCGCCGGCAATTTCGACGTCGACGTTTATTTCGCGACAAAAGAAACGCTAAGAGCAACGTAGACGTGATCCGTGAATGAAAACTTCAGGACATTGATTTCAAAGCTGAACGAAACCGACAAATGTTCGAGCCAATCTTATCCTTTTGTGTCGGAATAAGGAACGATGAATTTCTTATTTCAACATTAACAAATGAAATATTTTCATATTTTTTATAAAACAATAATAGGAAAATTTCTTTGCCGAACATTTGAATATCAACTTAGCCGAGCGAAATAAGTTTTCGTTAACGGGTTTAATTGGAGATCCTGCTTGAACGTCTGTAATCGAATTTCTACGAAGTGGATACGCCTCCTGCAGGAAAGTGTCGATCGCTTATTCCGTACAACTCTACCGTTACATCCCTTGTCCTGGTTCTCTGTCCTGACGAAAACTTTCCGAACAAGCTTCATCACCGCTCGTCCGGGCTCGCTCGAGTTTCATAACTAGCTAATCCGCGACGTAATAGAGAGATCAGGAAGATCTCCCCTCTACGACTTCATCTGTATATCGCTTTAGGTCTGCCACGACAACCGGTGGAATTACACGGATGACGTACGGTACCTTGGATGAACCTTATTTCGGTATCAGTCTCCTGGAGGATATAGAATAATTTGAGGGGATGAAAGTTCTCGTCAGTCTGTCGTGTATGTTTCATTTATCAGAAATACCCAGAATATCATATTCCTTGGTGACAATTAATTGAATACTCTTCCATCATAGATCATTTTATTTTTTCATAAAATAAAATACAGAATAACGTGAAAAATCGATAGGTACCTGGCATCTGTCTTTCAAAGCGTTAAGAATCCTTTAATTAAAGAAATTAGCTGGAGTGCTACAAATGATTCGTACTTTATCCTTGCGAATGCCGATTGTACCGGTTTACATGAAAAGTGGTAATATTGTTAGACAGCATTCCTGGGGAATTACAATGACGTTGGAAAGTTATTGGCAGTCCCTTCATTGTTCTGAAACAACTTCCCTTATCGGATGATACTACCCTAGATTGGTAGTTGGAAGGGTAGCGGAAGACTTCTCGGTAACGAGGAGTTTAAGAAGGGAACTCGGTTCGACGACTTTATGGAAAGACACGACGACGACGACGGTTGTCTTCGTCATCGTTCAGAGACGGGTCGGCATTCCTGCGATGTCGTAGTAACGACAGACTCTTCGTCCAATTATTTTTCCCTCGCTTCGAAACATTTCAACACCACTTCAGCGAAAGAACTCGTTCTATTTTCTCGTTTCCGTGCCAACCTTTCGTCGCCTCACCTCGTCTCGTTCCTCCGTCTTCTTACCGTTCTCCATCTTTCTCGGCTACGTTTCCTCGATGTGTACAAAAGTACCGAACCCACCCCGTACCTCCCCCGCTAACACGGATCTCGAATTCGCATTATTTCAATTGTGCGAGCTGCAATAATTCACCGTGCTAAGAAGATTATAAAATGTTTATGAATAATGGAACGAAATATTATTCGGAACGGGGGACCAAGGGTTCTCCACGAGCGTGGGAGGGTTGCGCGATAAGGTAGCACCAACACCGAGGCCAATAATGCCACGAAGGCACCTTAGAGACGGCCTGGGTGTACTCGGTGTATCCGTGTATCCGCTTATTGTGGCACGGTGTATTGTAAACGTTAAAACGAATAGCCGAGCTGCAGAACAATTCTCTGCATTAAGTTGTAATAACGTTACGCCCCCGCATTTCCGATCCTCCTTCCAACTTTTCCAACTTTACTATTCGTATTCGGCATCTCGACTGTCAGGGTTGCTATTATATCATCTTTAAACAGCTTTCGTCGTCGTTGAACGCAAATAATGAGATTACGCTTTGCGTTCCTCCTTTCGTTTTTCATTTGTTTTTTTTTTTTTTTCATTTGTTAACGTACTTGAAGACAGGGTTTTATAGGGCGATCTTCAAGAAACAGAATTGTTGTACTGATTGCATTGAAAAATAAGATAACTGACAAGGTATGATTTTAAATCTTTTAATAAACAATCAGAGTACCTCGATCGATCGTATATCTTTTTTTATAAATTAATGGCCAATAACGATATATACGAAGATAGAAAGATTAAAAAAAAAAAAACGATAGTTCTTGTTTCACGAGCAAACGAGCGGAATGGAAAACATTTTTCAACGAGGTTGATGTTGTTCGCGACGGGAAAGCGTTTTCGATAACTCTCGCTCGAGTTCCGCGTTCGATCGTGTGACGTAAACAGATTAGAATGGTCCCGTTAACGACATTACTGATGGGAAATATGACGAATCAATAATTTCTCGGTCTAGCATTTTATGAGGGAGTATTAAACGAGCGATAGTTATCGATGATTAATCATCCGGCTGTCACCTGCACTGGTTCGCTCGTTTCTAGAATGTATCCTCCCTTACACATCTAACTAATCTATAGCATTGATTTTTAATAGAAATTTTCACCCTCTTATTTTTCATTTTTATTTTCCTCTTATGTAATTGTTCCTTTTTTAATTCAGGAAAATTAATTTAACTAAAGATAATTTATCAAATTTTTTTATTAGTAATCTCTTAATTATAAATATTGACAAATTTCGTATTGGCCTGAACAGTCGCTGTAATCGTGTAATAAATTCAAAGAGAAGATTACGGTTAAAACGAAATGAAATCATTGCGGGCAACCTTAATTTGGCAAATTTGCATCATCGTATCGGGGTATAAAAGCGAAAGACAGATGCCCTGGCAATATTTCAAACGCCGGTAGGAGGACAGTAAACCAAAACGATGCCGCGAAATCGACGTGAATCCAGACGCGGTAGGTTGAATGCAGACACGCGAGCCCGGACGGTAAATCACGGACAGCCTCGTCGAGTGGCTGTCGGAGAGTCCTGGTGCCGGCTCTCGTCGTACGAAGCATTTATTAATCGCTCAGCTCCTAAATCCCGTGGCGCAGCTGGGCTGGAAATGTTTGTACGTATTGCAAAGTAAAGCGGCGGCGCGCGAGAGGGGACGCCAGGTCCTCTGGGAGAGGATTAGGTCGGACATATTGAGAGCTTCCAGCCGAAAGCACCCTCTTTCTCGAGTTCCAACCCCTGGTGGAAGGAGAGCGCTACGCGAACACCGTCCGAACTGCTTATACAAGGAAAATTGTGGCTTTACCAGCCTCGGACACTTCGCATAATTGTACACCGTGTTTGTCGTGATAACGTTCTCTCGTCCGACTATACCTTGCTCCTCGGTTATCCTTGCACTCGTGCGAATCGTTTGCACGGTTAATAGATCCTGCGAAATTATTTTGGGAAATTATTTAGAAGTCTTGTTTCACATCGCAGGTAAATAATTGGGGAAAATATAAAAATTTATGTAAACGAAACGAAATAATCTTCTTCACGGGTTTAATTTTATATCGTGTTTGTATTTAATTTATTCCAACTACTTAATTACATACACTATTTGATACTCTGAAAATTATGAAGCAAGTGGCAATATTAAATTTAACAGCA